CCCTCCCCCCCCCCCCGAATAATTTTTTATCTCCTACCTATCCCTTTTTTTTCTTTTTTAATGCTTGCTTAAACTAAACTGTACCTAGTGGACAAGTCTTAATTTGTCTATTCCCCCAACAGAACAACATTTGCTGCCTCTTCCTACTAGGTATAGATTTAGAAAGTGCTACTAGGGAAAAGGGAGAATACATTCTACATCTACCTAAGTTCTGGTACAGAAGAGAACAATAAGGAGCTGCTTATGAGGAACATGATTGCTTTATTACTTAATTCAGCCTAATTTGACTGTAGCTGCTGTAGATGATGCAGGAACTGCCCTTATCCTGTTGTTGCTGACTTAACCCCCTTAAAAACCAGGCTTTAGGGACAACTATTTAGGATGTTATGGCAGGAAGGGTAGGAGAAGTTTTAAGAACCCCCCCTGTTACTTAATCTCTTGAGTGTCAGGCATGCCTGCTGTTAACATCCAATTGCACAACACAATTCCCCTCCTTTTCTTTAGAGCTGAGACTTCCACAGATGCAGCTAGTGATGACTTTCAAGCCTGGTGAGGGAAGTATGGTTTAAAACAACCATGCTTCTGAGGGTTGTAGTTCCTACCCCCTGCACTATCAAAAACCTCACTCCAAGGCAGTCCTGTTGCCTGCATACACAGTTTCTCCAACCATTGCTAGTGAGGGAGACTGGAAAGGAGCAGCAGTTCAAAGGTTCAGGAAACATCCCATCTCTCCTCCAACTAGATTCACAAATCCTTAACTATCAGACACAAACAGCACTACCTACACAGGGAAAATGCCTCTTTAATTAAAGCCTTTAGGAGGAGGAACAGAAGATGCCTCTACTTTTTTTAGGGCTATGGGTGATGGTCAGCTTAAGTGGCTAAATAAGTAGCTTGCCACTTTGCACATCTATTTTAAACCCCTAGTGAAACACTACACAAGTTACAATGCAAATCTCCTTGCTTTACTTTCGTATTGTATATTTCCTATTCACAATTCTTTATAATTTTAGAGCTATTACATGGTAACCATGCTTCTTCCCACCACTATCTTGAATTAAAATACTGCCTATTACTAGGCATAAGGAAAGGCTGCCAGCCTGTCTTAATACTGACAATCCCATATGTGAAAGTTGCTAAGCTTGGAGTGTTTTTTCTCACTCTTAAACTGACTTAATGGATGAACCAGAAACAGGTGGCTGTCTTTCAATGAGTGAAAGCAAAGACAAAATGATCTGAGCTGGATTAGTAAGAGATGTATGTACACTTGTACAGCTGCCTGTCATCCTGCTAGATTAGCTATCTATAAAAGGAGCTATAGCTGAGATGGCTTGGTGTTAACAGGTATACTTCAAGGAACAGTAAAGTACTAAAATAATCTAAATAAGGTTAGCCCTATCTCTGCAATACTGTCTCTTTAATTATACTTTATTAGGCTTTTGGAACTGACTTCTTGAACTAGCTACCACTACCACTCTTCAGGCATGAGGTTCTATAAGACCATTTTCTTAAATTCTCTTCATAACCTCCCAAGGAGGTTGACAATTAAAACAGCTATGAGTCTGTCAGGTTACACAGAACTATATAAACTGATGGAAGGAAATAAAGTACAGGTTTCCCTCACTTTATGCTCCATTTTCCAGGAGCATATGTACTGCATAACTCAAATTCACATAAAGGAAACATACTTTACAATATAACAAGTAGGGATATGTTCCAAGACCTTGACTGTACTGACCTCCAGACCCATTTCTATCACTTTTACAAGATCATTTTGGTACTCTCCAATAGCAGACAGTTGGAGATAAGTGTCCTACTAGCTTAGAAGCCATAATGAGGATGGCAACTACAGAAACACAGGCCTGTCAGCAGACAAGTGATTAACACAGATCCACACAGACTGTATTTTGGTGCACATCACTCCCACAAGGCAGCTGACTGTAGGCTTCCACCACACAGATCACATGAGTGAATTCACCTGGCATAAAGCCAATTTTTGGTATAAAAAGGGTCACTGCACACATACAGAACCTGCAGTAAATATTATAACTTACCTGCAACCACTAAAAAGTATGTACACAGATAACAAGACTACTATAAATCTTGAGTTTAAGTGGTATTAAGTGTTCCTTGTACTTGCTCCAGAAGTGCAGGCTCTACTAATCTAGATCACTTAGCTGGTAGTAGATTTTCCTTGTATTGTAACAAGCCCTATAATGCCTCAATGATGGAGCTTTCTTTTGTGTAGTCCCATATCCATCACAAATTCATTCTTTATCATACTGTCTTATTTGCACCTGAGCCTTAAGAAGTGAATCCAGGAAAACATTTGAAGAGACCACAGCAGCAATGAAATGCATGCATGGCCCTTGTCAGACAACTCAAGTACTTTCTCCTTACCAACCCACCCCTTTCTATGCACCTCCAAAGGAAGGTACCATGGCAGCTTGCCCTTGTGCAGATAGTCAATCCCTATGTTGTCTACTTAAAAATCCAATATTTTGGAGGTTTAGATTTAATAAATTGACTCATCACCACTACTTCTGCCAGAGTCCCAGGGAGGGATTGTTTTGCAAAGACTATAAATGCATCTAGCATGGAGCCTAAAGTCCCAAAACTTTACAGCAAATAGGGTAAGGGTACAAAGGAGGTAGTGCTGACAGCACTGCTACCTTCTGCTTTCATCAGCATGTAAAAGTATCTAAACTCCCTTCTGAGCCTTTAAAATGATGCCTATTATTGCACACAAGATGCCCAAACTGAAGAATCCATTGCTGTAGGCTGCTGTACCGATGCACGGCCACACAAGTCCAGCAGTTTGTCTATAAATGTTTTAATATCAGTATAAATAGGGCATGGTTACAAAAACTTGCAAGAAAGGAGCAATGGAATTTTGACTTAAAAACTTTTTCTGGGTGAGGTGGTGTTCTAATCTTCTGAAATATACAGAACGCACAAACTGACAGGAGGAGGGAGCACGCACACGCACGCACACGCATCACCTTGCCTTGCACTGTTCAATACAAAAATAGCAGTAGAAAGATTGCTGGCTGATCCCTTGACTGTACCTCACTGCTGGGGAAAGGAAGATTGCATCTTGTGCAGCTTGTAGTAAGAGCAAAGTTAATGCCCAGAGGAAGATAGAAAAGTTGCCTCCTCTCCCCACCCAGCTGCTTCTGCTGAGGTACAAGCTATTAAAATAACAGGTTTGCACACTCAGCACTTGTACCCAGCCAGGCAGGGTGGCTGTAGGGACTGATCAGTTCCTTTGAAAGGGCTCTACTCTTGGACCTTTCATTCACTCTGCTAGTCAGGTTCAATGGGATCTCACTGGCTGGTGTTCTTGCTCAATTTAGAGTATCGTCCAGCTCTCCCTCAGTCCTCATCACAAGTCCTGCCAAGCGTGGTACCTTCTGTTGTGGAAATATGTAGTTCTGGTGTGAATCCTGAAAAGGGAGGCAGTGGAAGTACAGAACCTATCTCTGCACATGTCTGACAAAGGCTTGCACCAGTTGGATCAAAGGCTCCTGCCCCTCAGGACCAAACTTGGAGGCAGACTTTCCCTGGGGGGAAGGAAGGACCCCACTGGCAGGAGAAGAGGGACCACCACGGCGGAAGTAACGAGACAGGCTGGAGAGCAGCGTACTCTGAAATGAGACATTCGCCAAGAGTTAGCTTTGCCAATGTACATATCTGCCCCACTTCCCATGCAAGACACCTGAGGCAAAGGACAGGACCCCAGGGGCATTCTGATACACAGTCAGCATAGGGGTGCCTGAGACAGTTTACTTCACACACACGAACTAGATGTCACCTGACCATAGGTACCATTTTCACTAGATCACTTAGAGGCAGAAGGGCCAAGCAAGATGGAAACAGATACAGTATCACAACATCACAATACTATCCCCTTCTAACAGTGCCTTCCATTGCCACATTCACACAAGGTAAGCCAGGTCAACATTATTCTTTTACCCACAGCTCAGTAAAACTCCATTTACACAACGTGCTCCAGCTCAAAGCAATTCCATGCCTCAGTCTGCCCTAGAACATAGCTGGTAGCCAAGCCCCAGGCTTTAGCCACATACACCTGCAGGCCAGTTGTAAGATGTTTTTGTACATGAAACCTCCAAAGCATTCTGATCATTACACACAGAAGCTTATGGACAAGCCTTAACTGCTATAGCGAGACAGTTTGGATACTTTTGCTACAAGTGCAGAATCTCCATTAGACCTGCCAGCTGGCATGCAGGGAGGTACAGCAGCTGTCTCAGAATGGACCAATCCACATAAACTAAAAGGCTTACGGAAGCTAAACAGCATCAGAGGAGGAAAAATCAGCTCTCCCTGCAGCTTACCAGCTCCGAACTGAGCTCCTGCTTCATTCGCTGCTTGTCTCGTGGATGCACAGCTGGATCCTTCAAGTACCGAACAGCCTGGGAGATGAGCAGGTAGAAACAGTTTTCCATTGTAAACATGAGCAGGGACCTATGCAAAGAAGACAAGTCAGCACAAGTGTTACCACTGGAAGACCATTAACCCTCAGGAGGACCTGCTGCAGACAATGCAGAACAGGGAAAATGTTCATTTTACTCAGGTACAGGTATTATTCAGCTAAGTTAGATCCATACAGGTTGGCTAGCCATCTCTTCCCCTATACCCACCAATGGCTGGGAGTAGTATGGGCCAATTTTGCACGCTAACCTACCATGAGCCCTGCCTGCTTTTAAGCACTTCGGTAGGGACTGGTGAACTGCTTGCTTGACATGAGACGAGAAACAGAAACAAATGTGGAGAGAAGTTGAATTTAGCCCTATAGCTCCCAGTTTGGGTGAGATAAGGACCCCTGAGCCTCTGCTCCACAGCCATGTCTAACTAAAAAACTGAGAGACTTACTTAAGAGTTTTGGTCCCCTCTTGCGTATTCAGCCCTACAGCTTGAGGGAAGGGCTCCTTCTTCTTATCCAGCTTTAGGGGGGGAAAAAAATTATTAAAGACTGGAGTTCCACAAGGAGAGAACAGACTTACAGGAGCAAGTCTCCATTCTCCCTTAAAAGGGCAGATTAAGTGCCCAGAGAACACTGCAGCTACTGTGCAGCCTCATGGGCCCTTAAAGAACTAAGAACACAGGCTCCTACCTCGCCCAGCATGTTAAGAACCACGTTGACTGTGGCCAGGAGGGTCCCAAAGGAGGGAGCGACATCTGAATCAAAGGCTGGTGTGGTGAAACTCAGAACAAAGAGCACGTTGTACTCAGCAAGGTCCAGTGACTGCAGGGAGAGAGGGACAGAAGTCATTCAAAGGCTATGACTGTGGTATTGCAGCAGTAACAACCCCTAGCTCCTATACCGTGCTCTCGCAACCTGCAGATCTTGAAGTGCTTTACAAGAGACTGCCTATCATATTATCTCAAGGTTAAAAGAGAGAAACTAAATCCGAGGTCAGCCAGCATCCAGGGGCAGAAACAAAGATAAAACCCAGTCTTCTGAGTCCCATCTAGTCCAGTGACCATCCACTGCAGACACAGAACAAATCCAAACCACCTCAACAAATCGGTGGTAAGAAGGCTGCCTTCACACACTGCATAGTCAGCAGTAATTGGATCTAAGACTAGCTGGATTATCAGTTTATTCTGGTAAATAAGGATATATATACATATGATTGTGGAGAGCAGTCCAAGTGAAAGCTACAGAAACAATTGTAGTTCCACATCTCAAACCCTACGTAAGTCACATAGGTTAAATAGTAATACTTCCTTTCAGACTGATCTGTGACCAATTCCAAAGGCTACCTGTCTTGAGCAATGCCTTTTAAAGAAGAGCTGATAGATTAAGAAGTGGGCTATCATTTTCTTTGGAACAGACTCATGAAATCCAGACGATAATTCAGGATGCTCTTAGCTCCTTCCCCTGCAGATATCTGTCTCTCTTCTATCCCTGGTACCTGATCAAGGAGGATCTGGCAGAGGTCAGGAGTGAAGTGGCGCAGGGCAGCCAGTGATTTGCTAAGGATTTTCAGGAGACTGTACTGCACTGTGCGCAGGGCCTTCTGCTCTGCAGCCTCTGATTCAGGGTTTGGATGCCTGGAGGAGGTCTGAGAGGTGCGCTGCACTCGAGGTGTCACACCTGAGGGAAGGGAGTCCCCATTTTTTGTCTGTGGAAGAGGAAGAGAACACACACACGCACACAGGTATCGTTTCAGTGTCCTGTGCTAAGACCAATCTTTGCAGAAGATTAAGTTACTGGTAACAGGAAAGCTGTAGCAAGGCACCCACACTTTGCTTAGCCCAATGAGAACATAGCCTTCTAGGATGTTGCTCTAAGGCCTTCAGTGATCTTGCAGGAGAGGAACATGCCTGTCTGTATTGCAGGAATGGAATCTGCAGACACTATTTAAAACTCCATGCTCTGGGAAAAAAAGGAGTTTCTAATGAAACTGTTGCCAGAAAGAACCCTAGCTCAGCTGTAAAGATGCATCAATAAAAATGCATCCTCTCCCTCTCAAATCTACCTAGAGAAACCAGAAGAGCTGGAGCCATGTTTTCTTGCCACTTAAAGCAAGCCAAGGACACCAAGTCATTGGCGTATCAATTCTCATTTAACCACAATAGCTTCTTCCCAGCACAGCAGTCTGCTCTTAAGTAGCTAATACTGATTACTGTTTCTACATTGGATGTCTTATATTAATGGTGACTAGCCTACAAAGTATACATTGTTTTCAAGCTGTTCTATGTAAGTCCTGGTTACAGAGAGGTACAACCAACTCAGCTTTAGCTACTGAACTCCAGGGTTGGTGATGATCCATGGTTAAATCTCTGGAAACAAGGACTGGATACTGATCAATATTTTATTGGCTTTTAAGTGAGGGACCCAGGACTGTAGCCCCTCCCCCTTGTCAGTAGGGTCCCCTCCTCACCTGTAGATAGTGCTGAAGCATTTTGCGGCTATGCAGAAGGGAAGTACAGGCTTGGCACAGGTAACACAAGTTCACCTGAAATAACCACGAAAAATACAATTCTTAGAGGGCAAATTGAATCCATCTACCATCTCTCTCAGGTACAACTTTGAGACATCTAAATTTTCTACTCCCAAATCCTCTAACAAGCCTAAATTATGTGATTATTATATCCTAGGCTTCCAGGGTGGGGGTTGGAAAATCCAGTCCCAACAGAGACAGAGGTGCTTCAACCAGAGATCAGGCATCAGCAGAATTTTCAGATTTTCCCAGACACAACTGACACCAAGGTTCCAGCCTAGATGCAATGAGACACTCAATCCTCCAAGAGTTACCACCGCTCAGCCCTGGTTAATCTATCCCTCTCATGTAACTGTACCTCATTCTGCAACTGAAAGGCTCCATGCGAAAAGAATCATTTTCTTTCAGTGGCCCCACTTAACAACAGCTTCAGTGAAAGGGCTCTCTGTTAGCCACCTGCTAGCTAGCATGACAAAGTGTCACTTTACCTGCATGTCCCTCATGAGCTGTGGCAGGTGAAAATGCCACTCTTTGATAAAATTGGAGAGCTGAAGAATGAAGCCAACAGTGTGATCAGCTTCTTCCAGACAGGCCAAGCTCTGCACAGTCCGTACTGCATTCAGGCACTGGAGACAGAATAATTGAGATGACTGCCACAGCACAAAAATATCCATCCCTTCCTAGAAAAAGCTGAAGGTGCAGAGATTTACCCCTAGGGCCATGTAAGTACACTTTAATAAGGAAACAGCAACAGAACAACTACAGGCAACGACACAGCCTCCTGGACTTATTATGACTTAAAAGTTAGCCGGCCGACCCATTTGGCAGGTAGTGGCAGAATAAGACAACTACTGTGCTTACACACACATGCAATTAACTGCTACCTTAGAATAGGGTTTTTCAGCAAATTTGCATCAGTTTGGCTGATGCAGGGATTTGAGTATTGAGGGAAATGAGCTGCCCACCTGAATCGTGACAGAAACCTGACTGCAGCATTTTTGTTACCAGAGGGACTAAAAACTATTTTTAGAGGTGAGCTCACTCTGCTGCTTTTTTTCCAAGTAGATGAGTCACAGACTGAGATCTCACTCAACACTTCCTGATGCTGCTGTTTTGAGTGGACACATGAAACAGTTACAGTGGAATTATAACCTGGCGAGTAAGAGCAATGAATGTGTGTTGACTGGCCAGGATCTAGCAGCCTAACAATACATCCATCAGTGTGTTGACTGGCCAGGATCTAGCAGCCTAATAATACTTCCATCCCCTGCCTGGCCACTGTGATTATGTTGGAATTAATCTCCCCTTCTCTTTATCTGTTTTTAGATCAAGCTTTCTGAGGCAGGGATTGCGTCTTTATCTAAGTCTGTCCAGCACCTAACATATTCTGGGCGCTGCTGTTATTTACATAATAAGTGGCAACATAAAGAAGTAAGGGTGAACATACTTGGAGAATCCTCTCTTGATGGACACCCACAAAGTCCAGTGCCTCTGTCAGGAAGTTGTACCGAAGTGTCTTCAGAAGGCGCTCCATCAATGACATAGAGAGACGATAGACCCCAGGCCAAGAGGGGGCATCCAGAGATTTCCGGGATGAGGCAGGCGTCTGAACAGACCAGCCACAAAAAATAAGATTTACTTATACTCCTGCTCCCACAAAATGACACACTCTTTTCACAACAGCATGAGAAATTCCAAGGTCCAGGGTGATGGTGTTCACCTTCTAAGTCCTGGAGGCTGTTCTGCTAGCCCTAGACTGAAGAAGGCATTCAGGCCTTCCCAGTGAACTTCCCTATGAGTTTCAAAAGCAAAAAGAGACAGCACTCACCTGAATTGTTCCATTACTGCTAAGCTGATATACACTCAGGAGGGGCAGGCAGACACTCTGCGTGACACCTGCTCCAGCCACAGCTGCAGCTCCCTGCAACACAGAACAGCCACAGTCAGAAGAGGTACCAGACCTCTCTAAACTCACACCCATCTAAGGTGAATTCCTCTTCCCCCTAGACAGTACTAGTTTTCATAAAAAGATCCACAGGACTGCGTTATGTATCACCACCGACATTGTGTTCGACTGGAACAACCTTGGGAAAATGATCTCTATTCCTCATCTTGGACAATGATGAACTTCAACAAATAAGTAATGCATTACCATAGCTGCAGAGTGACCAGATGCCTATGCTTCAGTGCTGCTGTATCCCTATTAGCCATGGTGTTACATTTGCATGGCAGAGAGGTATTTAGAGAGAAATGTCTTGATCTGAATTACAGGTTTTCTCTAGGACAGAATCAGTTCTATTCCTCTATCCTAGACAAACCATTACTCAGGAATGGAAAAACTGAGGAGGCCCCTGTAATTCCTCCCCTTTGACAGAGCTGTATTAGAGCTTTATTAGGTTGATGGTGCCAGCATACAATGGAATGAGAACAACTCAATTTGAAATACAGGCCTAAGAGCAGAGCAACAAGTTCTCTTCTATTTGCATTTCTCACCTGTTGTGTCCTAGCTAAGGTAAAGAGTAGATGCAACGAGGCCTCTGTGAAATGAAGGTTCTGTTTGACTCTCAGGCTGATTTCCAAGGCTGTGAAAGTAGTGGGAAGTACAGGGACCTTTCTAGTAACCTGCAGCCAGTAATCTCCATCTTCATCTATTTCACAGAGTTCCTTTGCCAGATGCAGCCCCAGAACACAGACCTGCCATAGGAAGGAAAGGGGAGGATACAGCACAGATAGGGAAGAAAACGGACAGACATTAGAAGACTGTCAGGAAATAACATCCATTGGGCATTTACTACTGGGATCCAAACTGTAACTGCTGCACATATGAATTATGGCATTTGTAACCCCTTCCATAGCACTGTACACTTAGAGGGCTGGATAAGTAACAACTGTGACAAGGCTCCTTAAAAAAGAAGCAGCAACAGTCAATTTCTTCCAGTGTCCTACTTGGAGGAACATTGGGCAGGTTGTAGCTGTACTCACAGCCAAGGACAACCTGCACACTGGGGAAAATCAGCAGTTGGGAGATGTGGGTTCATGTCCCAGCTCTGTCACAGACTTCCTTTGTCACCTTAGGAAAGTCATTTAATCCATTTGTGCCTTAGTTTCCCAAGTAGTGTGTGCTTTCAGAAACCCGGGACGAAATGTTCCAACATGCTCATACAAAAGAAGAAGCAGACTTCCAAAGAGCATCGTCCAAATAATGGTTGTAGAGGAGAATAAATTCACCCCATTTTCTACTACGTAGTAACTGGTACATAACAACTGATACGGACAGGACATGTCATGGTGCATAGCACGCAGTTTTGTTTGCATAGCAAAAACATGGCTACAGAGAAACTAAACAATCCCCTTACCCCATCTCGCTGGTCCTTGTGTTTAACTCGGGAGACATCATCTGTTTCCATACTGTCCTTGTCATCTGCTGAGTCTCCAGAAGTCAAGTTGTGCCTCGTCTGATCAAACAGCGCAATTACCTCATCTTGGATTGTCTCACAAACACTCATCACCAACTGGGAGTACTGTGGGATCTCACTCACTGTGGGACACATACAGAGCAGACAATGTTTCACCACATCATCCTAAGATTTAGGTTCCCAATTTAACTGGTACACTAGTTACATGTTCAGGTGCCGCACTTTCTAGAGTCAATATGTATTCAGTTTTCATTTAAAAATCTACAAAATTGTAAGATACTCCAGAGGGACCTACACAATTAGCCACAAGCTTAGGAGGATTCCATGAGGGGGTAGAGGATACTCGTATTAAGAAAGATAGGGTGTTTTTATTTATAAAGGTGTACAAAAACCTTATGCTTCAGAGCACAATGCAGATGCTGACAGGGGCAGCAGTTACCTACTGCTGGGATTCTTGCATGTTTTTTCTGAAGCAGCTAGTACTTTCCACTGCTAGAGATAATACTAAATTCCAAGGGACCCGAGAATATGGCAATTCCTGTATCCAGCAGACACCTAGTTCCTGCTCGGGGAGTCCTCAAAATATTAATTTCACATCAAACCTTACAATCAACTGACCCACCTTCCACACATTTCTAGCTGATTGCAAGCCTTCATCAAGTGTGAGTGTTAAATTAAGACTTTCCGATTCAATGTGAATGCCTTCCAAAAACTTGTGCAAAGAGATGGGCTTTGCAGCATTCCCATCATGAGGCCAAAGACCATACAAAAGATCAAATGGTAGATTGCCAAGCTTTTTGAAGCAGGGATTTGCCTATAATTCATCACTATACAGGACCTTGCAAAATAGGAGTCTGACCCTCACTGGGGCCCCTGTGTACTACACTATAAATAAAATGAATGAGAAACTAAAAGAACAGCTCACACTAACTGAATATTCCTGATTTTGAAAAGATAGAGCATGACACAAATGCTTTCATAGTGACAACTCTGATCTTGATAACCTTTCCTGGGTCAGCTCACCTTTCATCTCCTTCATCTGCAGGACAGTGATGAGAGCAGAGAACACTTTGGCCTTGGTCTTGGTCTTCTCCATCATCTGCTGATCCGCCTGCAATACTCCCTCCAAAATCTGCGTCAAGGAGTTTATGATTTTATCCACAGAATTCAATTCACTGACAACAAAAAAGGGAGAGCTCTTCAGATTAGACAAAATTCCTTACTTAACATTTTGATTGTCACTAATTTGTGTGAAACATGCCTGTGAAGTTTTCAGATACAGTTTGCGCTTTTTCAGCACAAGAGACACTCCATTTAAGTTACCCCAGGATCTCCTCAAAGACTCCCCCCTCCAGGAATTTGTACTGCAAACAGGGTGAGACTACAAGCTCTTACTGTGATTCAAGTTTCCGTTTCATCTCTCCAATAAGAAAGAACTCAAGGCATTAAACCATTGTTTCGCAATAGAGTTTAGCAGTAGACATTATCAATATTACCTTCAAGGTGAAGAAGTCTGTCATTCCACAGGTTTACACAGTAAGGTATCTCCTTTTCTTCCCAAATCATCAAGGAAATTCTGGCTATAGCAACTCACCTGGACATCTCCTAAGGTCTTACATTGATCTGTGACTATGAACTTGCCTAGCAAACAGCTGTCCGAACAAGATACCTACCTTTTCCACTGTCTGAGCAGAATCAGAAGAAGGGTGCATAGCATAGATCCCAGCTGCAGGCAGGATACTGACATGGGAACCAGCAGCTAAGGAGAAATGCCCCCATAGTTACAAATGCAACATTAGCAAAGAGAAAGAAAAAGAGACTCAGCACTAATATACAGAGTACTAACTAGTGCTCCCCTCCCTTCTGGACTGCTAATTCCAAGCAGACCTTGCAATGAACAAGCAGCATGGAGAAACATAGCCCATGCTATAACAGAAGGGGTTTACATTACTCTCTGTTATTAAAAAAAAAAAATGATGTGCCACGTAATCTGTCCTTCACACAGCTAAGGGAATACACACACTTCACTCCAGTGAAGTGTGGGAACCTAGATACTAATAGCATAGAGCTAGACCAGTCAGTCAACAAGACAGAACTCCCAGAAGTCAGGCCACTACACATCTTAACAATCAACTGTAAAATTCTCTGTTTATAAACTCAGCATCTCAACTTGCAACCCTTGTGGAATGGGAAATCTAGTACACTGGATTTCATCTTGTTTACTAAACCAGAGTTTCCTCCTGCCATTGTTTGAAAAAGGAGAGAAAGAAAACTCTCCCACAGGGAAATACCTGCCTAAAACATCTGCTACAGCAACTGCCAGTCTGTCTAAAAGGACTCCAGAATTTGGAGATGTGAGAAATAAAGTCTGGCCTTCAACAGCAGATGAGACTACTGCCTACCACGCTGACTAATAGTTTCACATAATTTCCTTGTACTCCCCATATGCTTATACCCATCTGTTGTTTTTTGTCTTACAGATTTTAAGCTTCTGGAGACAGAAACCCTCTTTTTGTTGTGCCTGTTCAAAGCCTAGCACAACAGCACCTATGTGCAATGGTAATACAAATAGGAAGGTAGCTGAAATCAGGACATGGGATAAAAGCCAACAGTTTCTGACTTTCAACAGCTTGCAACACTGCAGGATTCCTAGTCAGAACTATCTGCAAGGTCACACAATGGCCAAGCAAATCAAATACAATCAGACAGAGCAGGAAAGCAAAATTATTCTAGAGAGGGCCTTTTGTTGCAGCCTCATCTCAAAGAATCAAAAAATGATGAACCTCAGATAGGTACAGGATGGAGGTCCTCTTAGCAAAAACAGGCAAGAAAACTGCACACTCAGTCTAAAGCTACAATTTATTGAAAGACCACATACTGAAACACAAATACTTACTAAAGCCTTGGTTCCACTTAGCACATCCAGAAACAGCTGCTGATGGACTGCAGAATCAGTCAGATGCATTATATCTGCCTACGGAAACCAATGACAGAGCTCAGATTAATCATATGCAACAGTAAAAGCTAAATTGTATTTCCCATCCAGCATGAACCCTATTGTTTTTATAAAAATAGAAACGGTCAGTGATAGTTGTTATTGGCAAAAATCAACACTCTGACTGGTAACTGGGAGCAATATATACATCGGGAATCTTTATCATTTTATCAATATTCATTTAATTACTTACAGCAGTAATTACTGGAGGTAGACAGTATTACTGGCTTCCTTTACACTCCTTTAAAAATAGTTTACCATTTCCTCACCTCTTTGCGCGCACACACAATATGCTAGTTGTGATCAGTCAGTAAAAGAAAACCCAGGCAGATAATTCAGTTGTAAGGTATTGGCAGCCATCTAAATCACAAGTATACATACAGATTAACGGAGAGAAAAAAAAAGCCTGATCCTTCACCCCTCCACCTGTGGCTCAGTAAGAAGAGTCAAAACATTAATTTTATGTCAGTGACATAGGAATTAAAAATAATGTCAATGTGGCTCTTACATGACTGGTAGAGATGATCAGCAGCATCCGCCAGGCTGAAATCAGCATTTGATATTCTGTCAGGGAGGCACAGCTGGTACCCTCTGTCTCTGCCACATGATGTGCCAGTGACTTCACATATCCTGACCAGTAAGCAAAGCGCTTTTCGCTAGAGAATTTCCTCAAGGTATCTTTTAGGGACTGGTCCAGTGAGCCCCTGACAAAATCAAGAGAAGAAATGAGATGCATCTTCATTTACTCCTTGGTCAGAGAACATGCACCCTCTGAGACTCATGTTGGAAAGTCATGGACACAGCAATGTGGGGTAAAGATTATTCCATATATTAGAAAGAACTCTGAAGAGGACTCCTCTGATTTCATCAAATGTCACAGAGTAGAAGTAACCCCTGGAGAGAAAGCACTAATATTTTTTTAAATGTCATTTTTTACTTAAGCCTGAACTCTCAGAACACTAAACAGTAAAGTAACTGACCTGAAGAGGGGGATTTTGTGCCCAAATGCTTATCTAAATCTCTCCCAGCTATGCAGCTGGTCCAATAAAAGATACTGCCCACAGAAATCCTTGCCTCTCACAAATGTAAAAATATCACATTCTTACTCAGAAAGTTAGCTCTTTGCATGCATTCTTGGTAACTTCAGGAATAACAGGAAATAACTGCATTTCACTCACAGGCACTAAAGGACTTCATCCTCAGTGTAAAGTGTCCTCAGGTATACTGAACACTTAACAAAAGAGCAGATCACCAAACACTCACTTGACTACATAGTAGATCTCCAGGCAGATGATTTTCATGATTAAGGCACAGGTGTCCAAGACACTGAGCTACAAAGAGGGAATAAAAGCAGAGCATGAGCAGGTTACTCATAGCTCCAGGTCAGATCATGCCAGACATTCCGAGTCCTGTCCAACAAGAGCAGAGTTTAGGACCATGAAATTCAGAGTTCTCCTTCAGGCAAGAACACTGATGCTGTGCAAGCAACCCAGATCTCCTGCTATATTTGGACATTCAAGCATTATACCAACAGGGTTAAAAGTTCCTTCCTCTCTTGGGCAGAGGGAGAAACATAAGGAAGACTTAAGACTCATGCCTGTTCAATCCTTCCAAGAAGGCTGATGGAATCACAGCTGTACACAACTGTCCCTCCCAGAAGGACAAAGCCATTAGGGAGGCATGATGATGGAATGGGTTCTGTGAAAGAGCAGCTGCCTCACCAGACAGCAGTTCATCTCTTCCCAATCAGAGAAGAGAGCCTTGTTGAAATCTGCACTGCAGTGAGATGAAGGATTAGTATTTCCACAGAGAAAGACAGAAGCTCCCAAGATGGAAAGATCCTCAGGACACCACCATGCTGCTAATCTGGCTGAGGAGAGAAGAGATTGCTCTAGGTATACACTATACTTCACACTTCTGGAGTACTAGTTCTTTACAAGCCAGTAAAGAATGAAAGCCTCATCCCCGTGTTGGGGTAGATGTTATCTCGATTTTACAGATAGGGAAGGAGAGGCAAAAGTTTTAGGAAACTTTTTCTAAGGTTACACAGCTAGCCTTCACAAAGGAGTTGGAAACAAACCCTAGGACTCACTTCTCTTACCTATCCTTAACCAACTTATCAAACTCCCTCTTAAGGAGGAAAGCCACATAAACCACTCACTTCCACTTAGATAAACACAGTTACCTTTAGGTCCTTATAAACACCTCACCTCTGATGTTTCTGAAGGGGAAGCAAGGATCCCAAACAGGGGGTTGGTTAAATTTTCCCAAAACTTGGGCCTGAAAACAGAACACAAGCAAAAATAGTGTAAGTTTATCTGTTTTGTCTCTGCAAAAGGCTTAACTGCAATAGCCTGACCTGGCCAGCCTTTAAGTGTAATCTCCACTACTTGAGAAATGTGGCATTTCACATACTGTATATATAATTACATTCACACACTGTACTTTGGTTTTAGGGTGGTTATTTCTGAAGATAAACAGATGTCTGGAGTTTGTGACAGGGCAAAGAGAGAGCTCCACACAAAAACTTCACAGTCAAAAACAGTATAGAAAAGTAAAGACTCACTTGGTCCGCAGAACAAGCATAGCACTATCCCGACGGTCCTGCCACAGAGCATGTAGGAACGCAATGGCAGCACGGTGCAAGAGGGGAGGACACCAATATCTTTCCTGCTGCTTAGAGTCTATCAGCTCCAGGATCACCTGGAGGCAACTCCATTCCCCCAAGCTGAATTCCTAAAGCAAAGGGGGGGAAAAGTAATAAGGTTATCTATATATAATCAAAATACAGACATCTTCTGTTTCAGTGTGAGACTCAGTTCCATCTAAGTAATACAAAGGGAAGCAAACCTTGACCACGAGCAGTGGGCATATATTTGATGTGTATGTAATACAAAATGCTTATAAAGAATTTATAAAATGTTGAGGAAAGGAATAAACTGTTTTCACAAGTGCAAAGATGAACTTACAGAGCTGAAAAAAAGAAAACTGAACAATGTTACTATTACCAAGTCTGAGTAAAGACAAGTCTTAGATAATGCAAAAGATGCTCCTTTGGTTAAACCAGGTTACACTGATACTGGGGGTATAACTTAGATGCCAGAAACATCCTTGTATTACATGTACACACTGCATTTATCTTATGCATATTAGACAACATTTAAATTGAATAAAAATTTTAATTAACACATGTGGAAACTTGTACAGATGCGTCCTTAACTGAACTGACTGAAAAAAAACAACCAGTAACCCTATGTGCAGACAAACAACTGGTATTGTACCTTTGACCCATCGTCCCCATCTTTCACTTCCAGGTTCAGGAACAACTCAATAAGCCCAGGTTGTGTCTCTACAGCAACTGTGAGGAATTCCAAGATCATGACTTTAATGCGCATGTCCTCAATCTTACTCTGAAGACGAGTCAGGAAAGCATCACGGATAGCAGCAGCATCACTGCCAAGGCAGGCATACACAGACATAGGAGCAACCTGCAAAAGGTAAGAGATGCTGGGAAATGAAAATCATTTAACTCTGTGGTGCTTCTTTTCAATATGAATGAAGCCTGTAGTTTGCTATTTGAAGTGAAAATCAAGAACACTCATCTCTGAGTGAAGGAGTGAGGAGGAAGTCAAGAAATAGTTTTGATCCTAATGAAATGTGGAAGACTATTAAGTTTTTCCAAGTTCTGGTCACCTCTTTAGAATTCTGCCCCTTGCCTATTTCATCAGTAGAAGAAATATGAAGGAGAGAGACAGAAAACTAGGCAGATTTGGGTTGATAAACTTTGAAAAAAAATATTCCCCAAACTGCAGCATTCAAAGCATTCTGTAAAACCTAGACAAGTGTCCAAACTTAACAGGTAAAATTTAGGGGCTCTTGAAAAGTTTTAATATGGGATTCCTCTTCTGGACATGACTGTAAAGCTCAAAGTGAGAAAGATTACAAGTTGTATCTAAGGATTTGTCTACAAAGGGAAATAAGTTGGTTAAAAGTTCCCCCTCCTCTTTAGAGGTTCTCATGCAGTTGCAGAGTGGCCTTAGATCACTGTAGCAAGGAGGACAAAGCTATTGCAGTCCAGACCTGAATGAGAAGCCTCCACATGGGAGGTTTAACTCTGTCTATTTGGGGCATACTGAGCTCCCACCTTTAGTGCCTTATGTTTCTTAAGTGTCCCTACGTGGTCAAGTCCTAAGAGGGTCACTGGACAGACAGTTTCAGTAATAGAATTAGCAAAGAAAGTATATGAAAACTCTTGTGAGAGACTGTTCTTACCGTAGCCAGTCGTTTAAGCAGCTGGATGGCAAGGCGTGGTAGTGCTGGGTCATGCTTGTGGTAGATGTATTTGGCCAAGACAGCAATCAAATTGTTCCCATGAGCACCTGGGAGAACATAAGTAAAGTTACAGGGGAGAAGTTGGAATGACACTGAGTCTACTTTAAGGGCTCTTCTCAAGACTGCAATTATTTACTGGGCAGTAATTTTCTATACTGGAAAGGAAGGAGAGTTGCAGGGAATGAATTCAGCCTTCTGACAAACCAAGGGAGAAATCCAGATACTGATAGCATCTACTGAATCTCTTTCAGCCCTTTTCTTGTTAGAACACAAAAGGAATGAAAATAACACTACCAGCTCATCTTAAAGAAGACCTAGTGGGGCAACAACAAGTATTAGCATTCAGGGCCCTTCACTGCAGCAAAAACATTAATGTCTGGAAGACTATCATGGCTGAGTGGGGAGCAAGAAAAAAAATCAATCCTGGTCTTTACTCAAAAGTGGGCCCACCATTATATGATCAGCACTTAATAGCATAAGAAGAAGTTATAAAGGGAAATAGACATGCTAGTAAATAATCCCCTGTGATGCAGATTAGGCTAACATCCTTAGTCTAATTCTTTGAGTCTCTGTGTTGGAAGAGAAGAGTGCCCTTACCCTTTCTGGTGCACAGGATGAGAACAGCACTACTTGGAAAAGTCAAACACAATTTCAAGAAGTTACAAGTTAATCAGAAATAAGGAACACGCACTGCTTCCCAGACTGACCAACAAGGAAGTACGTACCATGCTGTGTGAGAGCCTGTTCAAGTGGGGATACCACACTAGAAGGAGGTTTCAACCGGATGACGTTATTAGTGACTGAGAATGCCAACTTAACCGTCTGGATCAGCAGCTGGCCCTGGCCCAGCGACTCATCACTGTGTTGCCAAAAAGAAGTCAAGGTAAATAAGTCAAAATCAACTCTGATGCTCTCACTATTTGTACAGTACTCAAATCTGCATATTTAGGAACATGAAGTCCTACCAAACTAGGGTACAGGCTATAGAAGGATTGTATTCACTCCTACATATTATGTGAGCATTGAAATATACAATTCCAAGAATACAATATATACACAAGCTATATTGCTTAACCAGTCCTGAATTTAACAGCAGCATAATAAAAGTGTCATACCCTTTTTCTTTGTGCTGTGTAAGAAAACACTTCCTTGGGGAAGTGAGACTTTCATATATGTCTTTGGGTCTACCTACATAAACTGTAACTATACAGAGACTCATATAAGATTCACAGCTTCTCTCTGGAAGAGCTATCTTCAGTTATACTTGAGAAGCTGCCTGGGCTATAAGGAAATGTGAAGCCTATTTTAAGCGGAAGTATGAGATATGGTAAAGCCTCTAGCCTACAGTCTGAGACTCGATGAAAAGGCAATGTTTGTCCAAAAAAGGTGTGAGATGCTTCTACTAGCTCTTTATTAGGTAAGAGGTCTCATATCATGTTAGGTGTTTTGCAGTACATAGTTTAGCGCACAGTTTTTGGGGGGGAATGAGTGACCTATATAACAAAGGAGAAAACTGAATGGGAAAAATGATGGTAAAGAGAAACAACAGGCAGCAGGGGAAGGGGGCGTTA